TTAACTCCCAACGTAGGTGTTCACGCCCAAAGAGGTCACCAAAACCCACATCCACTGAAGATGACCCAACTTATGGTGAGGCAAGATCAACAAGGAGGTTCTTCAGTAAGAACCCTAATTCTTCAGCAAAAGTCACGCAAAGGGTTGGAGCACGACTTTAGATTGTTTCTTCTAAAAAGAAACAATATCAAGATCGAATCTTCATCAAATCCAAGAATGGAGATCGAACTGGGTAGGGGCGGCAAGAGCTAAGGGAGAAAAGTGCAAAAGAAAAAATCACCTACTGAAGAATTCGCCCCCTTATTTATAACCTTCTCTGGATCAGCTTCCTAATCCAATTAGGAAAGAGTTTCTTGATCCAAATATGGTATTTGGATCTAGACTCTTAAGTAGATAAGACTTATCTTATCCTACTACTAATCCTAATCATATTATAAACCAAATTCGCCCCATTTAATTAAAACACTTAAGCGCAGTTCGAAATGGGCTTTAGGCCCATTAAGTCATATAGCTCACTTTCCCTTTCAAATGCTGGTTAGTTTGGCTCTCTTTGTATGGTTTGGGACCCTAGCATTGATCTCCACAAAAGCCATATGGGTTCAACCCAGCCTCTATTACAAGGCCTGGCCGAATTCACTACTAAAGACAGTGAACCCCTGAGCCCATTAGTATGGGTTCTTAGTAGGCCAAACATTTACACTAAATGGTCCCTGGATCCAGGCACCTTATGAAAGCCCAAGGATTGTGGACTTATGTGAGATTAGCTCATCATTTATAACCCTAAATGGTCTTACACTTAACCTCTCAGCCCATAATGATCAAACACTGCCTCACAAGAGAGGACCTCTCCCCCAGCTCCAAGGTACAGTGTTGCACTCTTTGCTCACATGGATCCCAAGAATTAAAACCTTTTTGCGAGCATTTTGTGAAACCATAATATATATGTATATCTCCATATAAATATATTTTGCAAAACAAATCTTAACAAGTTTGAAATCAACTCCCAGCAGTTTAGGTTTCCATCAGAGAGAGTGCATTCCCCAATCATTCACTTTGTCCGACAAAGGGGTTGATTCTGTCACTATGATCACCCACTCAAGTGAATTCTCAGAATGCCCCAACATACCCAGGTTTTGACCCCCTCTAAGGATCTCACTGATTGGCATATCAAAGACAGCCCAATCCAACACCTAGTGTAGTACCATAATCAAGTCTAGGAGTTAGGTGTAATTTTCCAATTTTGCCCATCTGTCTCCATGGTCTGGTTCAGAGTTTCAATCAAACCCACACTACATGTGCCTCAGGTCTCACCCTGACAGCTAAGACAAGCCACCCCAATCTTCTTGGCAGCACATCATTGTCAGCCTTGGTAGGATAAACCTCCCCAAGTCTATCCAACGGCTATGAAGATTCTAAACTAACATGAGTCTCATAAGTGTCCAGTTTAAGGGTATTACACAGAAACACACCATAATAACATGAATCAATTATATACTTCATTCATTTACAATAAATGTCAATAAGTACATCAATCTGATTGGAGCTAAGGGCATAACTGTCTAACAAGGTAATGCTTATGCACGTACACCTCACCTTCGTCTAGCTACCACGGTCGATCACCATTGTCAGGGACTCTAAGCCTATACCCCTTCAGGATATGGTACTCCTTAGGAAGAGCCCTAACTTTCTCTATGCTAAGGAGGCTATCCAACTCAGAGCGTGGATGGCACTCTAGTTCTATGCCCCGGGTTGCATACTCGGCCACCAACCTAGAGCTCGACTCAAGAGCATCTTCACCCTTTACCACCTTGAGCGATCCTAAGGCACCCTTGCCGTCCCTCGGCCTCGTCGACCCAACACTCTCATGGGAAAAATCATCGCCCCATCAGTTGCACTCGACGCCTACAGGAGCAGTCCTCTCCCTCAACACCTGGATCACAGGATTCAGAGGCAGGCCCTCGAACTCACAACCATAGATCTCGCTACTACTGGCCGGCATGGTGGTAAGAGGGGAGCTTGCACCTGACAGGTCGGGAAGCTTGTAGCACTCAGGGCCAGAATCAGAGAAAGACATGGCTATGCTTTAAGTCTTTACCTAATGGATGATGTCTTGGAAAGTTTAAGGGTGAACAAAGTCGAAGGCCGATGTCTCTTAAGGTTCAAGTTGCAGAAGGCAAATCGTGAAGATTGTCTCGACTAAGTGCCCTATTTAAAGGAGAATGGACAGCTCATATCATCTCCGATCCAACGGCCACAGAGCGACCAATCTAACAATCCGAACCGATGCCCGACACATGTCAATCGCATCTGGAAGATGAAATGACTTCGAGCGAGTCATCTGGTTCACTCATCGAGTCAGGCGGTTCGTTCACCGATTCTGAGCTAGAAGCAACTCAACCCGGTCCACCCAATGCTCATCTCGCAAACGGCCTTGAGGAAAAGGCCCGTCTCACGTATGGTCACGACCCAACACCCATCTCGGGCACAATCCTATCGACGCCGAGACCCGTTTCCTGTATGGCCACAACTTGTTGACGTTTACACCCGTCTCATGCATGGCCATGGCATGCCTGCTCGTCTCCCATACTTCATACGATAACAATCGGCCGAGGCCAACGCCCGACCTATGCACAGACTCATTAGCACATGGTGAAGCACACTGATGGGGGCACATGCATCTCATCCTGTATGAAGCACAGTACCCCATGTAAGCTATCTTGGCATTTATTGCTCTAAGCTCTCTTAAGCTCTATAGTGACCTCGTCTGAGCCACTTTACTCAAGCCTCATCCAACCCCTTACTACACCCTTCTAACTTGACCGTCAAAGTCTTCGCCCTTGGGATAACACCCGGGGCCAATGACGTCTTCCTTTGCTTACAAGTCAGACCTTGAAGCCTTCGGACTCAGCCAACCCTCGCCTCGAAAGTGAAATTACATTGTTGCCCTCGGCCCATCATTGGCGGCAACAGAGATGGAAGTCACTAGTATGTTTTCTAGTGCTTGCAAATATCTGTGAAAACTAAAGCTAGTTGAAGGATGATTGGAAATTAAGAAGACAATCGGGATCTCCCTGTTCTCTTCTCTTGTTCTTTCTTTTCCTTTCTCTTTGTTTTCTTTTTCTCTTTTATTTTGATTTAATATTGTTTGGAGTTATTATGGGTTTTGCTTATGTGTACACTTCGGTTAATGGGTGCGAGTTTTTAGTGTGTCCCACTTGCAAACATTCTAGGTTGACTCGGCAAGCCATGTCATTTAAAACGATTATTTCAATAGATATCTAACAGATGCATTGACGGCATCTCTAATGTCGTCCATTTTGGCCTTACAGTGGCTTTTTTTCAATAGCTTAAGGTCGAAAATGGTCCTTTTCAAAAAAATTCCATTAATATAAATATATTTAAGAAATACAAAAAACATGAGAGCATGATGGGTAGGGAAAGACAGAGAGGGTCTTATCTATACTCTGTCTAGCTAGTTACTCTTATGGTGACAGGAGGGGGTCAAAGCCCCGAAAATATCCCACCCCAACGTGGCAACCGAAAAGTTTATTTTCTCCAAAATGAGAAAATAAGGTTGCTTATTCCACTCTCCACCACAACGTGTCTAGATTTTTGTGCCCAGCCTTATTTTCTTCCTGGAAGTTCTCTCCTTCCTACATTCTTTTTCCTCTGTCAAACAAAATACCCAGCCTTCATATATCCAAAATTAAAGATCTCTCATCTCTTCGGTCTCACATTTCTCTTCCCTTTCATTGTTCCTCCTCTCTCTCATTTTACAGGGATCTCTTGTCAGCATGGTATGCATCTCTCTCTCTCTCTCTGCATGGATAAATTGATCATTTTGTTTTGAAATATGACATGGTTAGTGCGCCTAGAGATAAAAATATTATAATGATGAAGGGAAAGAAAGCAAATTAGTTCAAAAGAATGGTTACTACCAATTTCCCCTGTAAAAAAATTAATGTGAACAACGTGCTATTTCATATCAGGCGCCTTGAATTATTGTCAACAAATCCAAATGAGAATGAAAGGAAAAACCTTGAAGAATCATTGCGTTAGAATTTTCACTACTTAAAATTGCTATTCTTCAATCTTTAAGGTCCTCCATGGGTGTCTGTTGAACTTCACTGCATCATAATCAAGACTCTGGAGTCATAAATTCCCAGTTAGGATAGGATATTTTAAATAATAAGAGGTTCCATTAGGACCGAATCACCCAATTGCATTTGAAATCAGTATCATATTTATCATCATGATCTGTCCATGTCAAACAATTATTAATATCCTCTGCATTTTCACATTTAAGTGAATGGTTTAGTGTTCATTATGTCTTTGTAAAGGCATGTTTTGATTCTAGATATCACTTGCAAGGTGTCAAATGCCCGCTGGTTGTAGCGAAGACTTGGATCAAATCCTGCCTTCACCATGGTCTACCCCCATAGAACTGAAAAGTTGTTTGAAAGAAAGAAAAAAACGAGATTCTAGATATGAAATTGGAGTGGGGTCTCTCATGTGGGAGTAGGCACAACATAAATAAGCATGTTAACAAGTATTTTGACGGTTAAAAGGGGGTTTGAATCTTTTTGAAGGGTGGGGTGAGGGTATTTTAAGAGATAGGTGACAAAAAAATTTTCAAGTGTTCATTGAATGTGCTTACAATATTGTGTCTATCTGGTCTGAACTGCTCTCATGGGCCCGGATGTAGTAAGCACGTTAGGTAAATACAATGAGTGAGCACATAATAACTATGTGACAAATGTCCCAGTTAATGTACCTTTCTTTCAAACATTTTTGTTCGGAGTTGGGACTCATTTACATTTTCTTTTTTCATTGTTTTGTGAAAGATGTATTAATTGGGATATGTATCACATAGCTATTACGTGCTCACTCATTGTGCTTATCTAACATGCCTACCACATCCGGACCCGCTCCCATGTGAGATCATGTTTGTCCTCTTCTAACTTTGTTCCTTTTTTTTTTCTCTCTTTTGGATGAAGGCGAATTCGGCATCTGGAATGGCTGTTAATGATGAATGTAAGCTGAAGTTTTTGGAACTAAAAGCGAAGAGAAACTACCGTTTTATTGTGTTTAAGATTGAGGAAAGGATTCAGCAGGTGATGGTGGACAGGCTTGGGAAACCTGATGAGAGTTATGAAGATTTCACTGCTTGCTTGCCAGCCAATGAGTGTCGCTATGCTGTCTTTGATTTTGATTTCACAACTGATGAGAACTGCAAGAAGAGCAAAATTTTCTTCATTGCATGGTAACGGTTCTCTTGAAACCACACACAAATATCAAGAGTTGTTGAGTATTATTTCTCTAATGGGGTATAGAATTGAACAGTTTTACATGCACCCATACATATATATCCACACGCACCCCACAATACATCCCACCTGTGTATTGGGAACATCTCCCCAATGACAAGTACGAAAGAAGTTCCCAATGCACAGTGAGATATGGATTAATTTTAGATGTGTTAATAAATTAGTGGTGGCAGGGAATGCGTGCAGCATTCACTACCTGATGAAGAGCTTTCCTTTTGGCAGGTTGAATTGCTCTCTTAAAAGGGAGGGATGCTGAGTGACCAACTCAACTGATAGGTCATGAATCTTCAGGCTTAGTTTGGTAAAAGTTAATACAAAAATGTATACTGCAAATACATACAAAATATAAGGTTTTGCACTCTATATATTTGTATTTGTACTCTTACCAAACTGAGCCTCAACAATTTTGAAGAGTGATGGGTGATTGATTGGGATAATGCATATTAAAGATATTTTTCAATGTTAACTGTTGTTGTCATGAGTTCCAAATCAAATCCAAACCATTAGTTTGAATTCTTAAAAAACACACACACAGAAAACATGTTCTTGATGGGTTATGTATTTTTCTTTTCAAAACAGAAACAGAAAATTGTGTTCTTTAATTTTGCATTAAAGATATGTTTTCAATTAATCATTTGATATCATGTTCCATAAATCATATAATATTCCTACCACAAAGTTGCTTTTATGGAAAATCCAACGTCTTGATGGGTCAAAAGGATAAATTGTTTTCTTTTAAACAAAACCAACTTGTTTCTATTCTTCAAAAACAAAAACACAGTTCAAGAACATAGTTTTATTTTCTTCTGCTGATGTAGCAATTTCAAAGGCAAATGGAAACAAAAAGCATTCATCTCGTACCCCCCAAGCGATTGTCTGATCGGCATGGTCCATTATAAAAAAAGATGATAAAAATTGAAATTTATATTATATATCATGAATATGATTTGAGGATAAAGATTTAAACCCACCACTCACAAATCTATGATGTGGGAAAAACATGGTATCAAAAGAGTTTTGACCAATCAAAATCTATCAATGAATTTTGATAAATAACACCTGATTGGCTACCACTTTATGATAGCAGTTGATTGGTCAAAAAATTTTCAGATATCATATCTTTCTGATATCATAGTTTGAACCCTAAATTCAATAGTTTAAATATAACCGGATCTGATTGATTGTATTGTATCATACTAGATTATTTGGGGTAGATTCATAGTTGATCAAATTATAAATGGATCTGATTTGAATTCGAATTTAGACATATAATAGACGCATCTATAGCCCCAGTAGTCAGTCTCTCATTCTCAGCCCATCATACCAAATAGATGGATTTCATCAGATATTATAGTATTTTCTTCCCTGTAGGTCACCTGATACCTCAAAGGTGAGGAGTAAGATGCTATATGCTAGCTCCAAGGATAGATTCAAGAGAGAACTTGATGGCATTCAAGTGGAATTGCAGGCAACAGATCCAAGCGAGATAAGCATGGACATCATAAAAGGACGAGCCCTCTGAATCCTAACAACTTCTTCAGCTTTAAGTATAGCTGTTGTTTGATGCTGTGCGGGAGCATTTCTTATTCTGGGCTTAAGAGTCTAAACCATTGATGGAATTTCATACTATGCGTTTCCTTTTTTATTATTTTTTTTTTGTCATATTCTTGATTCTCGAGTCATGTATTGAAAATAGGTTTGGCCTTGTACGATAGAGATGATAATACGAGACCTTCATTTCAATTCATTTATTTGTTTGTTATTTTCTTTTTCTCTTTGAAGATAGCATGTATATCTTCTTAACAAAAGGACAAGGTGGTGACTGTTGTATTCCTTTTTTAACTATTATCTTAGTAAATTACCACGAGATTATGTATTGAATTGCTAGAGTCTCACCTTATCCTCAATCATCTGTGTATAAGAAATGTTCAAAATATGTTATGAGGTAGGATCAGTGCGTCTTTTGTATAATAATAATAATAATAATAATAATAATAATAATAATAATAATAATAATAATAATAATAATAATAATAATAATAATAATAATAATAATAA